TGGCTGGGGAAAACCCTTCTAGTTAGGGTTTAAAATACCATAATGGATTATCATATGTAGCTTTTCCTTATATGGCCTGCCTCTCAAGTCAAGATTACCAAGAAGATGGGAGACAGCATTCTGCAGAACCCTCTGCTGGTTAGTTAAAGCCATTACTTATGCAGGGTTTTTATTTTTCCAACATAAGAGCATGTTTGTACAGGGAGTCTTGCAATGTACCATATCAGAAAAGAAAGTTTGTTGATGGGTGAGAAGACCCTTTTCAGAGTGAAAGTGTTCTTATTCACAAACATTTAATACTTAATTTCAGTTGAAACAATTCAGTTTCTGTATGTGTATCTTAGTGCAACATTCTAGATTCTGTTTTGTGGCTATTCTGTTTTGCCTTTCCTTGAGAACTTGGGTTCAATGAATTCTCTCAAGCAGTGGGTGATTTAGCATGTATTGAAGTTTGAAACACCAAGAACTGCATTTGGAGACGTAGTTGTATTCTGCAGGTGCTAAATGTATATACACCATCTCAGTAGTCATGTGGACTTTTAAACAAAAACCCCCCAAAAAACAAACAAAACATTTAAAACTCGAGAAGTGAAATTCTGGCCTCATCAAAGCCAATGTCAAAACTCCCATGAATGCACTGGAAGGAGGATTTCATCCCAACAATCAGAGAAATCACCAATATAAAAATTCTGAATTAGTATTTTTCTGATCTGGTTTATAAGACAAATGCCATTGTGAATATTATTAAAATTGAGTATTTACAACCCATAGTATTTATATTAATTGTGGTATTTAAATAATTCCATATTTTAAGTAGAGGCAATGGAAAAAAACTGTTACTACTGCCCATTTTAAATGGAATCCACAATTAACACTGTCTGTACTATAGAGATAGCAGAATAAAATTTCTACATGAATAATACTAAATAGTTTTCTTTGCTCTCTAAGTGAAAGATAAAGGTACATAGCAACACCCAGTGGGGCACTTGCAGGAGTCCAAGAGTGTTTATAGATGTGCTGTGGGAGTGGGCGGAGGAGGGGTGCTTTAATTAGAGCAGCTCCAAGAGCTGCTCTATTTAAAGCATCCAGAACACCATGTGGATCAGCATCCCTGCACTGAAAAATGGTGGCAAGGTCCCTTTAACTAAAGCTTGTTGAATGAGCTTTAGTTGAAGTGCCCACACCACCATTTTTCAGTTCAGGAACATTGAAACTTGTGACACTGGAGTCTGCTGGAGCACAGTAACTACCACGCTCCAGCAGACTCAAGAACTCGAGTCTGCTTTGATGCGTTATAATTACAGTGTATCAGAACAGCCTTGCTGCACTTGTATAGGCACCCCAAGAATCTTTCTCTGTTAGGGAGAATCATTCATGAACTTTCTTGTTGTCTAAATTGAAATATAATACTTTCACTGGCTTACTCTGAAGCTTCATCCTTTGCCTCAGTTAGGCTGGAATCTAATGAAACAGAAAGGCAGCTCAGGGGGAATACACCACAGTCTCTTCCATGTGAAAAACTAGATTTCAGTCACATTCCTATTTTTCAAGCCACTGAAAATTAAGCATGTTAGAGATGTAATGATGTGCACAGGGCTCCAGGGAAGCTGCCACCCCCAGGAGCAGTGGTGAGTTTTGGTTGCATCACCTGTGCAATTGTGTGACCACTTTTTGTTACCCCCGTCCAGGTCAGTATTGAGGCATCTGTCCCACTTGCCATACCCTATTCACGCCACTGATGCATGTTACCATATGTGTTGTGCTTGACTGAGAGACTGGGAAGCTGTCAAATACACAGCTGTATTAGTGTCCTACAGAACGATTAATTGAGCAGCATTAATGGTAGCCTTTAGAAGCAGAGGGAGAGTAATAAAAATGTCAGAAAAATATATCTTGAAAGGAAAAAAAAAATCACTGCCCATTAGAACCTTGGAGTCAGCTGTGCCAGATGTTAGGATGACCTGGAGAGGCATGGACTGACAGAAAGGAAATTTAACAAGTACATTTACAAGAGCATTATTAACATATTTGCACCTATATTCTGTCAAGAAAACTTTCTCTAGGTCTATTTAAAATGCATGAAATAATTCTACTGCCTTTTATTTTCTTCACAATCCAAAGCAGTAGCTTTACCCTTTAATCATTCTTCCTTTTATTTCACCTAAAGGTGATGTTGATAATTTGATAGCAAGAAAAGGTATCAGGATCCCTGATTTGCCAGTGTGTAGTTAAAGGATTTTAAGAATTATAAAATTACTTTAGTAGGTCATACTTATAATAATTCTCATTTTCTAATAAGCCAAAATATGTGTCTTGCCCCCTATAAAAAGTTTACACAGTGAACAGTGAAAAAGGGACCCTGCATCATTCTTTTCACTGCAACAGTACGACAAAAGGCTCTTTCATTCAAACAGCAACAAAATATACCAGATCAATATATATCTACACATAGGACACAAATTATGCTCTCTCAGCTCCATTTTCCCCCCTGTTATTTCTCATGAGAAGTCTGACCAGACAGTAAATAGGTAAGTTCTTTAATGTTGATGATTAGCAAAAAATAAACAGAGCAAGTACTAAAGCTGGCTTTGCACCTACTGAATGCTGCAAGTGTCTGTACTCATTTGATATGCATCTAGCAAAACTTGGATGCTCCCAGAAGGCCACTCCATGAACACTGAGAGAGCAGCGTCTGCTAGTGGTGCCTGTGAGTCACAAAGAACAGAGAAAATATTTATATAACTGAGAACAATCAGAAAGAACGAAGGATACATAGACCGACTTCTACATTCTTTCAAATACACAGAAAAATAGATTCATGCAAATAAGCAGCAGCAGCATTCACAAGGCAATACACATTTCTGTAACATATTTTGTCATTCATTCATATAATTAGCTTGTAGGATTCTTTTTTATTTAAAAGAACTTTCTGCTTTGCTCTATTTTCAGCAAAATGCCTGTTACATCTGTCAATTAATTTCTATTCCTATGTATATATTTATACACAGTATACTTTACGTACATGTATCTTGTTTGCATGCATAAGTGTGTGTGTGTGTGTCTATACGTGTGTGCTGCTGTATCTAGGCAATTATTAAACACTTCTGAATGTGGATGGAAGGACAATAGCAATAAAGCTATTTTTTCTCTTTTGTCAGCATAAACAATAAATGTAATACTGTACCTGTAGCATTGAGAGGACATCGATTGAATGCCATGTCCCCAGCTGGGGTCCTTTTCCACACCATTGACATCAAATAATCTTCAGGACATATTTCATAGGGTGCTGTGATTTAAAAATGAAAATTTGAATATAGGCTTTTGTACATTTCAATATAGGCTTTTGTAAATGTATATACTATACATCAGGGAAAAATATATCTTCGGCCTTAATCCTGTTCTCTCTGTGAAATGCTCAATGTTTTCTTTAGGGGTTCATTTTACCATGACAGTGCATGAATATAAGAATCCTTTGATTTCTTTAGAGGCTCTCTTCCTGCTGAGCTTTCATTTTAATCTGCTGCATTTATTCCCCTCTCACATGCACATACACTCTACTATACCACTTTTCATCAGCAACACCAAAGCTTAACTACAAATTAGTATTACTTAACAGACTTGAAATATGAAGAAAATCATTTAAGATTCTGAGGTTTCTAAAACATTGAAACACTTAAAACAATCTGCTTGACACACAATACATTTACATAACATGTAACTCATTACAAGATTTCATTCACTTTGTATGTTGATGTAAATTACACCAGGATCTGAAGTGGACAGACAACCAAATGTTTCAGTGTTTGCCTTTGCACTAAGCACTGTTATAATGTCCTCCCATTAGGTGGCAAGGAGCACGTAACAGCCTAGTTACCTATAGCAGACAGACAGTCTAGAATAGCTCTGGGCACACAACACTTCCTCCAGTGTAACTTACACTGATTTTACTCTGATTTTTCCTGGGGCAATTCTATACTGGACATTATACCAGTAAGTTATACCAGCGTCGGCTTGTACACTTTGTTCTTTGTTACACTAGTGTAAGGGTTGGTTACATTGGTGTAAAAGTGCTGTGAGTTTAAGCCTCTGAAGCCATTCCTCCATCATTAAAAGTAACAAGCACATCAATTTTGAAGATATTGGGGAAACAAAAGAATAAGTTGCTTCTTTTGAAATGTGTTTCATTGTGACTGGATTATTAACAAGTGAGGTCAGTACTGTAAAATAGAGTGGCTATAAGCCAAAATAACCTTTTTACTGATTATCACAATGTTTTTTAAGGAAGGGACATTTTTCACATTCCCATGGTAACAGATTCAATGGGCATACACGGAAGCAGGAAAAGAAAGCTGTATTTCTCTTGTTTCATGTTTCTTTTGTATATACTCAGGATTACTAAATTCTTTCTGTTGTTCACTAGTTTTAGTGTAGTTTCCCAGCATGTTATTTTATTAAATGAAGCAGCAAACATCACAACAGATATCTCTGATAACTTGAGGCGATATGAGACATCAGCAGCTGAAATCTAGATCACTCAAACAGCTCCAAAAAACCCTGAGACTATTTTCCTTTCATTATTATTTGCATTACTATAGAAATTGGTTCTATATGCTGAAGGTATACAAAATAAGAGGTAGTCCCTTCCTCAAAGCAGTTACATGACAAACCACAGGGTGAGCAAAAATAGGTATTATCACCATTTTACATATGTGGATGACTATAAAAGGATTAAGTGACTCATCTTTAGTTACATAGGAACATTATGATGAGGAGAGAATTGAACACAGACCTTCTAAATACTGTTCCACTATTTCACCTATACAACTGTCCTTCCTTTCCCTGTACTTCTACTGACAAAGCAATGAAGTAGGTAATGAAACTGTGCAGACTTCTGCATCAAGTACTCAACTCTGTAGTTGAAAAAGAGTTCCTTGCAGATGGCTCAGCAATACTAATATGAATCACAGTCCTTCAGAAAAATTGCTTGCTAAATTTGCTTCAGCATCATCATTCCTGAATTGTGAGTCAAAACAGTTGATGAAGCTAGAGAAGAAAGAATATCCTTAATGGCAAAACCCTAAGCAAGCAAGCTGTTTTACTTATGTAGAATGCTAATTTGCTTCAGATAAAGAAGTCTAAAAGTAAACACGAGTCCACTCTTTTAATGGGGAAGGCAAAGGATGCATGATGACAAATGGGGAGAATCTGGTGACATGAGCCAGTGCAATTACTGTCATACTAGGACCTTGTAAAAAATAATGTATTGGTCTGTGGGCTGTAAAGACTGACATAACTTACTTGGGGGATGACTCATAACTGAATGTCTTCTTCTCAGGGGGTCCTCCCTCAGCGTTTGCTACATAATACCTAATTTGACTTTGCATGATTGTCTCACTCCATCTCCATTCATCACTCAAACAAAAAGCTCAGATGTAATCAGAGAGAACATTTGTTTTGATGTTTTCAAGACCTTTTAATATAAAATATATATCATTTAAACTATATAAAGTAATCTGTCTGCTATTTAAATAGGGTAAATTCGAGTTAGTTTTAAAACCATTTTCTTAACTCTTTTCAGGATAAAACTGAATGTTATGTTTTATTGAGAAGTAGCATGACAGGATAAAACAGTTTATATTTTGGATTATTTTTACTTGATGCACTACTGGCTACGGGCAAGTTTGACTAGGGTGGGCTCATGCTTCAAGCAGTCGTTAGAAACATCTTGGGTGCTTATTGAGTGTGTCTGGCTCATGTGCTTTGGTTAAACTGACAGCCTGATTTGGGGTCAGGAAGAAACTTTTTCTCCAGGCTAGATTACTTTCCTTTGTATGGCCCTCTTCCTAGGATCATCAGACCATATCTGAATTTGGCTAGTTTTCTGATACTGTAGTAGGAAGGTATTGATGATGCCCTTCTTTCCCCTGCTTATTACCTTTGGCATGTGGTTTACTGTGCCTGTAATGTAAAAGGGGTCACAGTGGATAGTCCTGTGCATCTTTTAGACCAAAGGCTGCTTGGGAATGTAGATTAGACTCCATGGCCTGGAATGTCCTTTCTAAAGCTTAAAGCTATATTCTTATGCTATTTCAATGCATAGAAAAACTGTCAGACTAAATTCTGGGTCCCCAGTGTTTTTGGCTGATAGAGTTTTATGGAAAATCCCCAGTCTGAGATTAAGGGATGTTTATTCTCCAAAAGTTAATTCTTTATAGAGGGTGGCTAATAGAAACTATTCTGCTTGGAACCAGAGACCTTGTGTGGTGACGTTTAGACTGTAGGTGGGTGCTTATGAATTTTCTGTTCCTTTCCTGAAGGCTCCCCAGAGTAATGAGGTTGCAACAATGAGATGACAAAGCTTGTGGAAAGATGGGAGTTCTGTTTGTGCACAGTATAAACCTGATATTTAAGCTTGCATTTAGAAGACTAAATAAACTACCAGTGAATCAAGAATGGCCCCAGTCCTTGCGGGTATGAAAGGTTTCATTTGTACTCTCTCAGTGGAGATCTTCAAGAGTGGTTTGCATTTCTTTGGCAAGCCAAAGTCCTGTAGTCATGAAGGGAGCTGCATTATGATTGCCAGTGCCATGAACTGAGAGGTGGTATATCTATGGCTGCCTTCAGGGCCCTGCTAGCTACCAGCTGACCCTCTAAAGCCAGCACCGCAGGATTTCCTTTCATTCCAAAGAAAGGGCACCTTCCAGGCCTGCAATCCATTTGTATACTCCAAAACTGCAATATGCTAAGAGTACCTGGAAGTTCACAATCCCAAACTGCGTATCTGCTGATGAATATAACCTTTTCTCAAACTGGTTCAATTTCATGACCTCCCTGTCCTTAAAATGTTTTGCTTTCTTTTTACAGATGAAAGCATGAGTGAAGATGGCTATAAATAAAGATATTTCATCCCTCCCTAGAGGGAACTTGGTAATAATTTTCAGCCTGCTTAGCTGACCAAGGATAAGATGCTGTCATTTGCCAAACTAGCTTTATGGAGTCCATAACCTTGTTAATCAGTGATATCGTCAGCCAGCATAAAAACATAAGAAATGCCACACTGGGTGCATCTATACATGTGCTTTAATGAGCAGTAGACTATTTTACTAAACTTTAAAGCTTTACATAAAAGCCTTGACATTATGCTACTGTGCAGTAAAATAGTCTACTGCACATTAGGCATCACTAAAAAAAGCATGCAAATGCACTACTGTGCAATAGCACAGCCTAATGCATATTAATTTAGTACCTCCAATGGGAAGTACTAAATTTAATGCACATTAGAAAAGGAGCATTCATAAACATGTAGGCACACCCACCGGGTTAGATCAATGGCCCATCTAGACTAGTATCCTATCTCTAACAGTGGCAGAATTGGATGCTATAAAGGGAGAACACTAAACCAGATACCTCTAGAGTGATCTATTCCCTATTCATTACTCTCTCCAGTATCCACCACTTATTGGGTTACAGATGTCAGAGAAAATATCTCCAACCATTTAGTTCAAGGATTGTTCCCCCTTTCAGACATGTCCTCTGAGGAAATTTTACATGCCTGATGAATTCTTATCATTAAGGCCTCCATTAGCCTCAGGTGTGCAGGAAAAGAACAGGAAGAAACATCAATGGTGCAGAAGGTTATGGAGAAAGTTCTCTCAGAGATAAGGTAGCAGATAGCTCACAATGTTCCAGAGGATTTTAAGTGTCCTCCTAATAGATTAAAGCCAAGTGAGTGTTGGGTGGATTAAAGTGAGGTTATCCTCTGAAAAATTACACTTCCAACTCAAAAAAAAATAAAAAAAATAAAAAGGACAATCAACTCTTTGAGACACTGAGGACAATTAGGACAAAAGGGTCTTGCCCAATATGGTGGTACCTCATGATACAGCACAGTAACGAGATGGAGGAAAGGCATGTCAAAAAATGTGCCAAGGCACAGTCCAATGGCTCATCTTGGCATCTTCTTCCCAGGCTTGCAAAAAGAGGTGGAAATAAGATAAAGGAATCATAAAAAAATAAAAAAGCATAAACAGGTAGTTAGTGCAAAATTCCTCAAGGAATAAAGTTTGGTACCAGTATAAAAAATAATGTGCTTCATCTCCAACCAGGCAGTTGGAAGGAATTGAGAAGCCCTCAGTGTGTACTGCACTTTATTCCCTCTGTGTGGGCCACAAGACTAAGATCAAACCACAGGAGCATGAGGGATATCTGCAGTGAGACTATGTTGACAACTGACTCAAAGGAACACTATTTCTTTTCAGCCTAAGACTGAGATTTGGGTACATAATC